TGAAGTTTTTCTGGTTTTCTGCTGGTGTCCATGTTGTAGATCTTCAATAAATGAATGTCTGGCGGAACCATTGCTAGCAGAACTAGAAGCGAGAGTAAATAGAATCACACCTGAGCAGTTTTTGAACGCGTGCAAAACACATGTTGCACTTGTGCCATTCATTGTTAATGGTGCCCCAAAAGTAGCAAGCACATGCACGTTACAAATGCACAAAGCTCAATGCCTAAAAAGATACATGAGCTACTTTTGTGTGTGATGGGCAGCCCTTTGGAATTATTAACAGTCCTATGCATGTAGCACCACAAATCACCAAAAAAAAAGGCAAGTTCATAAAATGCTAGATGTGAACCTAGCCTCGTGGTGTGCCAGATAGCAGTAAAAACCCAGAGGAGGTTCTAATGCTTTCCCATGCTATGTAAACCAAAAAAAACATTATTCGATATTAGATATAATTTAAGATATTGTAGTTACAGAAAAAACATTTTGGTGAATGATACACTCCTGAATCATGATCCTAATGCAGGGCATAGACGGGTCGAAAATCGGCCGATTTTCGCACGGTTAATTGGTTGGCCATTTTTTGGGGTTTTGGCACATATAATTTTTTTTTTTTCTTTTTTATCGGTAAAGTTGGGGAGAAAATCGGCCGATTTTGCCGATTGGCCAATTTTCTCGACAATGATGGGCAAATCGGGCTGATCGTTTTACCGATAAAAAAATCTGCGCATAAGCCATGAAGGAGAAGAAGATTGCGGTTGCAACAAAGTATCTATTTGTATCTGAATAAAAACATCTGTATCCGAAATGGATACAAATAGATACATTGTTGCAACCACAATACTTTTTCATGTCAGATATAATAGCGGAGCTCTCTGCAAGGGCCTGAAGTAATTAAATGCCGGCCGTAGACGGGACAAAAATCGTCCGCTTTTTTTTTTTTTTTTTCACCGTTCCATTTTGGTGGTAACGCCGGCTTATTGATCAACGACCGATTTTTCGGTTTTTTTTTTTTTTTAGAGGTTTTGCCAAAAAACGGGCGGTTTTGGACCCATCTATGGCCTCCATAAGTCGTTGAAACATTTTACTTTTTAATGAAGAATTGTGTATGTATATAAATAGATATAGAGAGATCCTGCCACATCCTCATAATGGGAAATATGATTTTCACTCTGTATATGGTATAACCTGTAGCATAGTGCTTTTGTAAGCATGTAAAATTGTGTCTAAATTGGCATGAGCATGTTTTCATGTTGTGGAATGTATAAACCTGAAATAGCCATTCTGTTATACTGCTGGACCAGATCTGCCTGCTATCTAATTTAGTATCTTGTTCCTGTTCACTGTTCTATCCAGCCCACCATAATTGTATTATTGCCTGTTACAATACAACTATCCAAGCTAAAACCATCCAGTGCAGACCGTCTTTTCAGCAGCAGTGGTTGATGATTTCACCGTCCTGTACATTGTGCGGGCATAGACCGGTGTGGTACTATGTGGTCATATGGCTGGTATGGTATGTACTAGTTACATGTGTTCATTTTCAGGCTAGTATGGTAGTGTGCACACAGCAGTTAGCGGGTGAGACAGTGTTTGTTTAGTGATTAGGTAAATATGGTTATAGACTGGTAAATGGCAGCTATTGTGTGTGTAATGTGTTTGTTTAGTACAGTATATTGGTCTGTCTTTGGATGCATGATAATCTGCCTCCCTATGTAAGCATACATATGCAGGTCTCTGCAGCTTTGTATAGGCAGTATATATGGGGATTGGTTTGTGTGTATGTCTGTCTGATTGTGGCTCTAGTGTTAAGATCAAAAAACGCTGGATCAAAAACACTGGTAATAGTATTTTTAGTAGCGTCAGAAGCATTTAGGAGCGTTGGCTTTTTATTAGTGTTTTCAGTACATGTAGAGGAAAAAAAAGCTAGGAAAAAAGCTATTAGGAGCGTTTTTAGTAGGGTTTAGGAGCGTTTAGAGGTTTTGGGGTTTTTTTCTGCTAGAGAAAAAGCTCCACATTGGATAACACTATTTAGCTTCTAGGAGCAGAAAAAAATATGCTGATAATAGCTTCTAGGAGCTTATAAAAATGCTAGGGTGCATGGAGCCTGTAAGTGCATGTAGGTTTTTCTCTGTGTATCTGTCTTTTATGTTGCCAGCAGGCTTTTCAGACATTTAAAGAGACCTTTTTGATAAAATCACAAAAAAATCAAGTATTTTAAATGCTTGCTTGCAGCTTTTGTATTCCATAAATATTTGTTATTCACTCGAAATGTATCATTTTGAACAGCTAGAAAATGTGACTAGTCTAGCATAATCCCCTCCCTCCATGCATGTCAAAGTCCTCTTCTCTTCTGGGGGTGTCTAATTACTGTGTGAACTGGCCCAGCTCCTCCACTCCCCACCTCCCTAGGCCTGGACTTTCTAACAGAAGAGTCCTACTGCAGGGCTTGCTTAAATGTTTGCCAACACTGGGGCACTACCCAGCCCTCTTCTGGTCTCTGTACAGGCCCCTGTGGTGTCAGCTACTATTGGCTGTCATATCTCTCTTATAGATATCTAATATTGGCCACTACTCCTTACAGACACACCAAAAGCTAGTAGTTAAGGTGTGCCGCTGAATCGCATTTGTGTTCCTCTCCTAACGCAACTACAGTCTTGTAGCACTCTCTTGCAAACGAGATGACACTGCAGGTATCAATGACATTCTGGAAAAATATCAACATAAACACTATATGCTTTCCATATTGTACCATCAAAAATCAGAGACAGATCTATTGTAAGATCAGTAATCTTCACCAAGTATCATTTTATTTTAACCTCCTTTACATGTACTGTGTGTACATTTGTATGTTTATGCAGTTGTGATGTTCTGTTGAGTGTGTCCATACTCTTTAACAGGTTCTGTGTGTTTGTAGTCAGATGTTGACTTGTCTGGCTGTGTGGATATACACATATTTGTCTAGGTTGGTTATGTATGCAGAATGTAGCTTGCTTTTTGTTTAGTAAACTATGGAAATAAGAATCTGAGCATGAATTTATATACTTTTTTTTTTTTTTTTTTGTGTGTGTGTACTTTTTGTTCCTGTTATAGGGTTTTTATGAGTGTATCAAACCTGTCAAGTCACTTGATAATTTGTGCTCCTTTCCCTAGTCTTCTGAATACTTTATCTGTGGGACTTGTATACAATCAATGTATGGTTTGCAGCGAATAATTACAGTGCACTACTATATGGGAAAAATATATTTCTCCTTTATTCATTGACAGACACGGCCCTTCACATACTTGACTGTAGGGTTATAGCGCCACCTTCAGGAGTAGGATACTAGGCAGGAAAAAACAAGCACAGCACCGCCTATGGGCAGTCCTAGTTGTTAGTGAACCCTCTCTCTGCTATAGGCTGTCAGTTGTCTAAGCTTACGCCATTAGGGGTTGGGCGCCCCTCTTCCCTGTCACGGCACACACTGCCAGGGCTATTGGTGCTTCCTGGGCGTTCCAACATCAGGCGTCTGTGTCTCAAGCTTGTACGGTGGCTACTTGGTCATCTGTGCACACTTTTTTTTACCATGTTTTACAAAGTTGATGTTCTGGCATCTTTGAGGGCTTGTTTTCTACCGCAAAGTTTTGCATGTTGCTGTCTGAGGTTTCTGGTCCCTCTTACGGGAGGTTCTTTTTGGGTGTCACTTTGTTTTTTTACCCACCCCTCAATGTGGCACCGTTTTGGACATCCCTACAGTCAAGAATTTGAAGGGCTGTGTCTATGAGCATAAGAGAGAGCTGGATTTTTTTGTTACTCACAAATCCCTTTCTCGGAGTTCATTGGAGGACACAGCACCCGCTGTGACAAACTGAGCTGTCTAGGGCAGATAGGGGGTTTACTACCAATCAGGACTGCCCACAGACAGTGTGCTGTGATTAGGGTTTTTTTTCTCTGCCTAGTGTCCTATTCCTGAAGGTGGGCACTATAACCCTGCAGTCAAGAATGTGAAGGGCTTTGTCTGGCAATTAACTCAAAAGGGGATTCTATAGTGAGTAAGAAAAAATCCAGTTTTTATTTGGGCTGTTCTGTAATAAAGCGTAATATGTAAAATGAAATTCCCCTTAATTTTTTCATAAGAAATATTGCACTACAACTTGATTTACAGTACATATTTTCAGAAAAGCTGAACTCCAGACAGACTGCCACTCCATTGAAATACATATACAGTTATAACTGTCAAAATATTTTTATTCTGTTCGGTCAGTCTTGTGATCCAGACACCACTATGTGACAACACAGTCAGGTCCTGCACTTGTTGGGGCTCCTATGCAGTCAGTACTGCAGCTAGACAGCACAGCCTATTCTTGGACTTGCCCCGCCTAGTGGCAGAACAGTGAAGGACCAGAGGCATGCTGATAAGATCTTCTCTCTGCTGTTTCCTTCTATCAGTGTGTTTCTTTTCAGAATGCATGTACTGCAGTAGAACTTGGGTTGGCCCCTCCCTGTTTTAGTCTGTTGTGCTGTGTAGGGAATTATAAGAGGCTGATATAAAGAAAGATCAAGGTACGTTTTGTCAACTCTATGTAAGAATAATGCCTAGCTTCAGACACAGACAAGATTATTATGGGTTACATAGAGAAATAACAATGCCTGGCATAAGAAACTGCGGAAAGTGCAAAATGTAATCTTAAATGTTGTAATCTTTGGGCATTTATCTTCGCTATATAGTCCGCTTTGTTGTAATCAATCAAATATATAAAGGCTTTATAACTATAACCTGGTGCTCAAGCACAGTAATGTCCCTTAGCTGTGATACCATGTTCAGCTACATCCGTGTTGCTGCAGAGAGGAGTACAGAGCTCTATGCAAACACAACAAGCAATCCGTGTACTAAGCAAACACAACAAAAAGGTCAGGACTGGCAAAGGTGGAAATTACACTCTTCTCACACTATGTATTCATAATGCTCAGCCTATTGTCTTCTGGAGGCAGTGCACATGAAAGATGTCCCTCTGTATTTCAGTGCCCATTTGTTGCTCTGCTCGTTACAACCTGGCAGCGTTGGCATTACTTGGATTCTTCATGGTGTATGCACTACGGGTTAATCTGAGTGTGGCGTTGGTGGACATGATAAATTCAACTTCTCATCAACAAGAAAACAGAAGTGCCAAGGTGTGTCCTGACCATACAGCTCACACAGGTGTGCCGCACAATTCTACGGTAAGTTTGATAGGCCTGTATAATACACCTAGGGGTTGATTTGTTCAAACTGGGGAGTGCAGTGCAAAATCTGGTGCAATCAGCTTCCAGGTTTTAGCCCTCATGCACACTGGACGTTTTGATATTGCTGGTAACGCTAGCTGTGTAAAGTCACATTAAAAACAGGAGTTTTTCAGTGTTTTTGCATTAGTGTTTAGCTGCGTTTTTCTGTGTTTTTTAGCTGCGGGCGTTTTTAAAAAAAAAGTCCAAAAACACAGGTTTGCAGCGTTTTACTGCATTTTTTAGCATTAGACTGTTTTTACAGCTAAAAAAAACTCCTCTAGAAACCCACTAGTCCTGGGTTTTTTTTCCAGCCAAAAATGTCCCAACCAAAAAAACGTTGATTACAGTCTGTGTGCATGGACACATAGGATAACATGCTGGGGGTTTACTGGCTGTAGAAAAAAAATGTCAAAAGCCAAAATCAGCTGCTGTAAAAACATCCAGTGTGCATGAGGAATTATTGTCAAAGCTCAATTCAACAAGTTGAAGTTAGAAGCTAATTGGCTACCATGCTCAGCTGCACCAGATTTCACACTCTCCAATTTTAGGCCTGGTTCAAACCAATGCGTTTTTTAGTACTTTTTGCAGAAACGCACTACAGTCCATTTAACATGGTTTCCTATGGGACTTGTTCACATCTATGCTTTTTTGGGAAGCTGCATTTTTGGAAAGGATCAGGGACTTTTTTAAGCACAAAAGCAGCTTTTTTTCTGCAATAGAGTTTAATGAAGATGCGGCTGAAACGCATGTAGTGTTTTTTTTTTTTGTTGCATTTTTGCCTTTTTATTCTGCCCAGCAACAAAAACATTTCCCCTTTTTAATGAAAAAAAAAAAAAACTCTGAAAAAAATGACACAAAAACGTGCGTGCAAAAACGTGAAACTCACTGCAAAATGGACAAAGCACACACTGCATTGGTGTGAACCAGGCCTCCGTAAATAAAACTGCAAGTCTTTCTGCAGTCTTCACTAGTGAATTGTAGGCATAAATGTGTCAGGCTTTATTACAGTATGTGCATGACAACATTCCTTTTCTGTGGTGCTTATTAAATGGTAACTGCAGGATTTTTATTTCAAAAAATGAAAATTGGGTCCTCGCTATCACTTTTTCGATTTTAAGTACTCATCTTCTGTCCTATTAAATATCCTGTATGCGCTTTGCCACTGTGTCACATAATTGACTCCCATGTACTTGCAGCAAGTGACACTGTAAACAGCCCCAGGCAGGGATACAGCTGATACTTCATCACAAGGTTGAGAATTTTTTTATAAATGGATAGAGATCCTGGAGGAACACAATTTACTTCTTGCATTTCTTCTTTATTCTGTAAAGTATGTAAACATTTGTATGTAAAAACAATATTACTTATACTGCCAAATTCATTTTTTTTTCTATACTCATGTTTTTGTGAGGGCTTTTTACAGTTCTTCAGTAAGGTTTTAGTACGTGTTCTACAATAATACCCGTGAACAAAATGGTTTTGGCTCTGCTGACACTGTAGTTTGTGCTCATGTTGATTCACCTTGGTGTGCAATTTGGCATACTGAGCTATTTTATGCTTATTAGGAATCAGTGAGCACTAGAAAGCAGCGGGAAGGTTGGCTCCTCAAGTCCTATTTACAATTGCATGATATTAAAGTAGAACTATAGGCAAAACCTTTCTTTTTTCATTTTGGCTAAAGTAAGGGAGGGTTATAACCTCCTGTCAGTTTTGTTTTTTAACTATCTGTATCCCATTATGGAGATTTCCCTTCACTTCCTGTCCCGTAGTCAAACAGGAGGTAAGAGGAAATCCTTGGGGACCCCTAGGTCACCAGAACCAGTGTCCTCATTTATGAAGATTTCCCCTCTATTACTTTTCTGGGGACAACCCAAAATTTTTGATTTTCTTTCTCTTTCACTTTCAATGATAACCGTAAACAGGACAAATAGAGCGGGGGCACAGACAGCAATAAAAACAGACAAGTGTTCTAATCCCTCTCCACTCCATCCAAAACTAAGAAAAAGAAAAAAGGTTTTGCCTTTTAGTTGTACTTTAACAATCTGACAGCAGTTCAGCATTTTAACCTCCCTGGTGGTATTCCCGAGTGTAGCTCGGGGTAAAGTTTCAGTACCACAAGCGGTAACCCCGAGCTACACTCTGGCTTACCATGCGGCACTGCTCCGCGATCCCTCAATCACTTACCTTGCCCTTCGCTCCCGCGATGTCCCTCCTGCAGTGTCCCCGGCAATGTAATCCGGCGGATGCCGGCATCTGTCATCTGGGTTCTGTACCCTGCGAGCGTCTGGGACGTACAGGGGATGGAACGGCGGGAAATTTGAAAATGATAAAAAGTGACATTCACTAAAATCACATAGTAAAACATTAATATACCAAACCATTTCACATACATGTTATCCCTACTGCTTTGTCCTGTACCCTGCCTGCATTTTTACTGTTCTTTCTACCTGGAAACAGAAATGTCCATGGCGTCCAAAAAACATCCCTTTATGTCAAAAGCAGTTTTAGACCAGCTAGAGAACAGCGATAGTAAATTAGAACACTTGCAGAATTGAGTGATAATGATTCGTGGGGAAATTCGTCATCAGACACTGAAAACAATTTTGCGACTTTGCTCACTGATGTGCGAACTTGGCGCTATATTTCAAATTTCAGTGTTTTTGGTTTGAATTATATTATTGAATTAAATTTATTATTTTATTATATTATGTTTTATGATTATTTATTCAATTATAATTTATGATTTCGTGTTTCAAATTTTAACATACCCGGGATGTTTACTAGACTCTTGTTCAGACAGATTTCAGTGAGTTATTCCTAAGAATTACAGGCCTACAATAAAAAAAAAAAAAACATATTTCCATGCAAAAAAATGTACCGCTTTGAGCACAGAAATACTGACATAATCAGACCACTAGGGAGGTTAAAGTAAATGTGCATACATACAGTATATGTGAACCTGCCAAATAATTTGTAATTCAGTTCAGCAAATCTTTGATCCAGATACCTTCTACCAGACAGTACTGTTATGTCCTGCTCTATCTCTCTCCCCTCTATTGATGATCCCTCCCTAAAAATGTCTCTGCAGTTTAGCTATACAGTGTGGTTTAGGACACAACCAGGCAAAGGCTGATTAAATGAGGGAGCAATAGCACATTGATGAAGTCATCCCTTGTATTCCCTTCTATCACGAAAAGTGTCCAGGGTTGGTGGTGCAATGTATTAGAGCAGGAGTAGGCAACCTTGGGACTCCAGCTGTGTGGATACGACGAATACCATAAGACATTGCAAGACCCTGATAGCCATGGGTATGAATCCCCAAAGGCATGATGGGATTTGTAGTTTCATTACAGCTGGAACACCAAGGTTTCCTATCCCATCAGTAGAACCTCACCTATTGCTGTGCCTCCCTTTCCAAGTTCTAGTTGCTGTTGTGCAGATGTGACAGGTGGATGATATTAAGAGAGAAGGCATTTCTGCTAGCTGTATGTAAAAAAAATGTAGGTATTTTTATAATTCCATGCCCGGATTCAATCTGCCTGGACAGCCTTCTGCTAAAAAGGGAGAACTAAAGGCAAGGATCACAGCTACAGTGACTGTACTACATCTTGATGATCCCACAATGCTACATTAAAAAAAACCTATTTCAGACTTCTACTTTTATGTATTTCATATTTTCTCCAAGGAGTTTTCCATTAAATTATTTGCCCTCATCTAATTTATCATCTTAATACAAAAAGGAAGTGGTGCAGTGACCAATCCAATATCATGACTTAACAAAATGAACTGCTAATATAATATCTTGTGGTTGCAAATCTTTGCATGATTCCTTTTTGTGTTACTATTAAAGTAGTAATTTAGGGTCACACAAAGCAAAGTGACTTTGTAGCCAGATAGCAGAGACCCTCCAGTGCCACACATTACCTTTTACTGTACCTGCCCAGGAATATATTTCCAAAGCCCCACAGTAACCCTCTTGGTATAGGGTAGATGTGCACATTTCCTTCCTTATTCCACCATGAAGTGTTCTTTATACCCATACTTGATCACTGTCAAAGTGTTATGGAGGGGGTGGTGCCAAGCAATACGCAAATATCACTTTTCAGAAAAGTCAGTATTTGCATAACACCATTGGTGCTACAGCAGTGGATCTTAACAGCTGCAGAGCACATAAAGCTATTGTGTGGCATAAATAGAATCTGCTGTCCAAGTGTCCTTAACTACTTGCTATGGGGCCAATTCTGACACACACATCAAAACAAAGGATTATGTTACGCTGAGCAAAATGATACCTAACATGCTTTAAAGTTGCGTACGCCTGTGGAACTGCACTAAACTATCGTTCCTAAAATCTACATAGGTGATGATTAAAAAGCCTTTACAGGTTACCAGATTAGAGTTACATAGGAGGTTTGGTGCTGCATTCTTGCAGCCATTGAGAACTACTGTGTGAGCTGTGATTGGTCACAGCTTGTCACATGGTACAAGGCTGTTGTGAATAGCCTTGTACCATGTGATCTCTGTAATCATTCACAGATTTCACACGTAGTAAGCAATGATGTCAGAAGTAACATCTTGCTTACTACTCTGCATGTGATCACTGATTGGCCAATCGGTGATTACATGATTGGGACCTCGCAGAGAGGTCCCGTCCGATGATTGGTGTTCCACTGTGTCTGGAGGACACAGCGGGCGCCGGATCGCTGTGCTGCTCGCTCCCAGGGAAACCTAGTGAAACATGGATACCAGTGCAGGGGGTGTGAACATTTTTTTTTTTTTTTTTTTTTTTTTTTTAAAACTACTTGTCCAGGGACTAAATAAGTGTCCCAATCTACTTGTCCCACATGACAATCTACTTGTCCTGATAAAAAAAAAATACATTTTAACCAAAACTGTATTTAAATCTGCTTTAAGTAATGTCGGGGGCTTTTAAAAACAAAAGGGGCTTTTTTGGCAGCTTAAACGTTTAATATTTTTAACATTGCGCTGTTTATCTCCTCCTCCCCTCCATGCCTGTCTCCAGCACCTCACCCGGGGACTAGCAGGGAGGGGAGAGACCTTGCAGTGTAATGAGCACTGATTGGCTGCTCCTCTGGAAAGAGGAGTGTCCGGGTTATCCTTTATCCCTTTCGCTGCCAGAGCTGTTTTTGCATTATTTGCACACATTTAAAAAATCGTTTTAGGCCTGAAGATTACACAGAACCCCCTAAACATGATATATTTTGTAAAAGCAGAAACCCTAGAGAATAAAATAGCGGTAGTTCCAATTTTTTATGTCACATGATATTCTCACAAAATTTCAGTAAAAAATACACTTAAGTTAATTTTAGGGCAGAAAAAGCAATAAATTATCCAATTTCTTTGTAAAATATAAAAGACAAGGTTGCAGCGAGTAAATGGATATCCAACTTGTCAAACCTTAAATTTGTGCGTGTTCGTGAAATGGCGGCAAACTTCAATAACCTATATTTTCTATAGGCGACACTTTCAAAGCCCCTTTTATAGGTCATCCATATGGTGTACGGAGGAGGTCTGGTGCTAGAATTACTGCTCTCACTCTGGCATGCATGGCGATATGTAACATGTATTGCAATCATCGTTTTCATGTGTAGGTGCCCAAATATGTGCTTTTACATTTGTGCGTGCGTACATATGTGGGGGACCTTGAAAAATGTGGTGGCGTTACATGCCTGGGTGTAACTTCCATTTAAATGAAAAAAAATTAAAAAAAAAAAAAAAAACTGGTGACAGGTTCTCCTTTTTTTGACACATGCAGGGTCTAACAGATCCTGCATGTCTCCCCTGTACTACACTGAATGTAATGCAGTGCACATCGCACTGCATTACATTCTTTCCTGGCCTCAATGACCAGGAATCTGTTGACTGGGAACCCGGATGTGACATCACATCACTTCCGGATCAGAAGAAGGGGAGGGGTGCGGATGTGTCCGCTCTCCTTCTCCCTCCCTCCCCTATACCACATTCCGCGGCACTTACCGAACCAGTCTCGGGCCCGCGGATGGGCAAGCAGAGCCCGGACATAGCGGGGGAGAGGCTGACACTGTGGGCTGTGTGGAAGCATTCGGCAGCAGTGCTGCTGCCTGATTGCTTTCACCTGACAGATGTAAAAAAACAGGGCAAAAAAAAAACTGCCTGCCTGGCGCCCGGAACTACATGTCCCGGGCGTCGGGCAATAGGAATTGGACATCCCTGCAGTGTTGTGAATAGTATTTGATAAGGGAGGTCTGCAGACTACAATGAATGAAAAATTAATGATTCTTTGATAAGCTGTCTATTCTTTACATATGTTTTTCCCTTTTCAAGGGCAAGAAGTATAACTGGGATGCAGATACCCAAGGCTGGATACTTGGCTCTTTCTTCTATGGATACATCATTACTCAGATCCCTGGTGGATACGTAGCTGGAAAATTTGGTGGCAAGCTTCTGCTGGGATTTGGCATACTAGGCACTGCAGTATTTACTCTGTTAACACCACTGGCTGCCGATTTAGGAGCAGGTTACCTTATAGCGGTTCGAGTACTTGAAGGACTGGGAGAGGTAATTTTGAGTTTATTATCAGAATGTTGTTTTGGGGTTTGTTTTGGTTTTTGTTTTTTGGGTTTTTTTTTTTTATTGTGACTGCCACTACGAACTAAATAAAAAAATCGAAAAAGGACTAGTTTGCTCATAATATTGGCCATACCCAGGAGAGGTCTAATAAAAGGATTTTGTAAGGAGATTGGGATTTTGGAATAACCTACCCTATTGTTGGTGCAGTTTGACATTTGGATAGCAAATAAACCACCACACAAAGCAATAGATCCCTCCAACTAGTGCCTAAGATTTAGGGTTAGGGAGAATCCAGTGTATGCTTACTAATGAAATCCCCCCCAGTCTTCCTGTAGTACTCAGGAAAGCCCTATTCTCTGGAAACTATTTGTAAACTTCTGTTTTAAGGGTTAACACCATCTCTGTTTAAATGCGTTGATCTGCATTGATTAACACAAGGGCACAAACAAAACCATTTGCCCTGAACACATCACAATGCTGCATTGAGGTGATTTTGTAGGCTGTTGTGTAAAAATGCAAACAAGCTGCTTTTTTACACAGTACAACCCCTGAAACACTATGACCCCTGTCACAGTCTTGAAGATGTTGGGGGCATCTAATTTCTGGAGTGCAGTGGAGAGGCTGCGGGGATTAATCTAGTAGCATGATGAATCCTGCAGGAGCAGAGGATGAAGTAAGTAAAACTTCTCTGCCCAGTCCCCCTAGACATAAATGGGGGGTTTACCCTTGCAGCGGGATTTTTACTTTTCCAAGAGTTCAGCTTTTAAAGTATTGTCACTCAAGAGAGAATGATGCAAAATCTGAAGCAAATGAGCCAGATACAGTACCTCACAGTGCAAAAAAAGTGTTGGGATGTCTTGTATTGTTTGTAAACCATTGATGCAAACCTGTCTCTACAGGGTGTGACTTTTCCTGCCATGCATACCATGTGGTCCTCCTGGGCACCACCTCTTGAGCGCAGCAGACTGTTAAGTCTTTCCTATGCAGGTCAGTGCATACATTTTTCAGCCAGAATTCTTTGTTAACCACTAGCCTACAGGGCACTTTATACCCCCTTCCTGTCCAGGCCAATTTCCAGCTTTCAGCGCTGTCACACTTTGAATGACAATTGCACGGTCATGCAACACTGTACCCATATGAAATTTTTATCATTTTTTTGAGAGAGCTTTCTTTTGGTGGTATTTAATCACCTCTGGGATTTTTATTTTTTCTTAAACCAAAAACCACTGAAAATTTTGAAAAAAAAAAAAGTTTTTTCTTAGTTTTTGTTATACAATTTTGTAAATAAGTGATTTTTCTCCTTCACTGATGTGCGCTAATGAGGCTGCAGTGATGGGCACTGATAGGCTGCACTGATGGACACTGATAGGTGGCACTGATGAGGAGGCACTGGTAGGTTTCACTGATGGGCACTGAAAGGCAGCACTGATACATGACACTGATATATGGCACTGACTGGCCCTGATAGGCGGCACTGACTGGCATTGATAGGTGGCACTGATGGGTGGCACTGACTGGCACTGATGGGTGACATTGAAAGGCAGCTCAGATGGGCACTGATATGTGGCATTGATGTGCACTGGTATGCACTGATGTGTCATTGATGGGCACTGGCACGTGGCACTGATGGACACTGACAGGTGGCACTTCTGGGGCCACATTGATCATCAGAGCACACTGATCATCAGTGCCCTGATGATCAGTGTACATGTCCTCTCCGTGGAAAGCCGATTACCGGCTCTCCTCTCCTCTCGAGCGGTCAGGGGTGACAGCTCGAGAACAGAGAAATGCCGATAACCTTGCATTTCTGTGTTTACATGTGATCAGCTGTGATTGGACAAAGCTGATCACATGACCGAGCCGACATCTTCAGCTCTTTCCGTGATCCACTGTGTCCAAGGGACACAGCGCACTGGCGATCGTGCTCCCTGCGCATGCAGTGAGAATGGAAGGACGTCATATCAGAACGAGAGAACCACCTTCCGCCCATCGTACTATAGGGCGGGCGGAAGGTGGTTAAAGGATAAATTCACCTTAAAGAACATGTTACAGCTCTTGCCTTCCTTTCCCCCCTAACACCCTTTCCCTGTGACAGTGAGCGGGGATACTTTCCACTACAGCTGCTGTCACATTTAAAATTGGTGTGGCTGTGAGTGTGCCAATAGAGGAATTGGCAGAGAGGGGTGCTGGACACTGAACGGTTAGTAAGGTGGATGACCGCAGCATTCATAATGGACTTAAGGAGGGATAGCCTATGTAAAGATAGACCAAAAAAGGTGAGAGTTGGAATAATCAAGACAAGAGACAACCAGGGACTGAAATAGTAGCTTTGTGGTGTCTGTCAGGAAGGGGCATATTATGGGGATTTTAGAGGTTGAGGCAGCAAGCTTTGGACAGTGCACTTTCCTTTTAGCCCCACATCCAATCAGTCCAGGATTACACACAGTACCCTGGCATGCGGGGACGAACTGATAGTTGTACCATTGATCTCGATGAAGTCAGGGGAGTTCACGGGAGCAGGGCTGTCATCCATGTTAGGGGATGGGGGGAGGGCGACAGCCCATATACATATAGGGAAACCAGGCTCCAACAAGGGCCATCTTTAATGTGTGCAAAAGGGGCAGCTGCCCCAGGCCTAGTCATTGTTGTGGGGCCCAAAACAGCTGCCCCTTGAGCCCACGCTGCCCGCACAGTTACCATGATTTTCATTAAGCTGTCCCGAGACTGATGAGTCATGGAAATAATAGTTGCAGGTACAGCAGCAGCCCTGTCTGCTCTCTCTTCCAGCTGCTGTACTTTCACTCACCTCTCTGTCTCTCTCCTGGCCCTCTCCAACATTTCCTTCCCCCACCACCACCACCAAAATTCTCTGCCCTGTCCAATCACATGCTCGTAGTGTGCCAATCTGGACCTGTCCCCTTTGATGAGTCAGGCCAATAGTCCCCAGCGGGGTGAGAGATTTGCAGTGGGAAGTTTGAGTATGGAAGTGTGATCTATCAGAGCTGTGTGTCCTTGAGAGAGTGAGGTGAGCCCCAGGACCGAAAAGGGGAATGTACACTGAGGTATATCACCTGGATCAGGCTGTACTGAGGGCGCAGGAGGGATAGGACTACAGAGGGATGACACTACAAGAGAGGACCGACCTAGTGGGGGAAATGAGAATGGAATGGGAGGACCTGGAGGATTGAAGAGGAGGACATATGGAGGGGGGAGACCTGATGGACTGGAGGACATGTGATGGAGAAGATGAGACTGGAAGAGGAGGACTTGGCATGGGGGGTTGGGACTGGGGACTGGAGGAGGAGGGCTGGAGGATGGGACTTGGAAGAGATGGGACTGGAGGAGGAGGGCATGGGATGGAGGAGATGGGACTTGAGGAGGAGGACATGGGAGTGGAGGAAAACGTGGTATGGAGGGCATGGGATGGTCCCACTGAAAACCTTTTCAGCATTCCCAATCAACAGAAGTCAATTGTTACATTGACTTACATCGCGCGGGAGTGGCCACACATGGATCAGAATTCAGCTTGTCCCTATTGAACTGGCCACATTTTGATCCATCTAAAGCCAGCATGAGAGTAGTGGCCATTTTAGCAGTTAGGAAGTCATTAATGAGTTTTAGGAAAGTAGTTTCTGTGGAATGTTGCAGGCAAAATCCAGACTGAGAGGGGTTCAGAAGGTTTTTGCTGGTGAGGTGGTTGCTCAGGAGGCTGTAGATTAGACATTCTAGGAGTTGAAAGATTATATTACTCCTGCGCAAGTAAAAAGCCTTTTACACAGTCCAGCAGGTCTGTATAAGTACATCCACCTGTATATTTCATACTCCAGACTCTTACCAGATTCTGTGACCTTTGAGGAATGTGGGTCAAGTAAAGCTTTATCTCCAAACAACCACTGTGTCTCCTCTTTTCTCTCAATCATTCACCAGCCCGTAGTCGCTGCAAAAAAGACAAAAACTATATAGTGTAGTATCTTCAAACTAATATTAAAACCTTTATAACTATCAGAGTAGTGAAATCTGAACACAATACTGATTTAATCAACCTTCATAAATGGTGCTCACAATCAGCTGTGCAAAATTGCGCAAAACCTGATATTTCATGTTCTTTCACATCATTTGTAAACCAACCCCAATGCTGAATATACTTTACTCCATATAACACAGGGCTAGAAGGTGTAAGTAAGCTTATTCCTCATCAACGCTTTCTTCAGATGCTCCAAATACGATGTTCCCCATAATAAGATGAAATATTTGCATGTAAAAAGAAAAGGTAGTTATTTGGAAATAAAGCTTTATTTGACCCACATTCATCAAAGGCCATATAATCTGGTAAGATTCCAAAGTCTTAAATATACAAGTGGACAAATTCCTACAGACCTGTTGGACTGTAAAAAAAAAAAAAAAAAAGTATTTTTACATTGCGAACTGGATAATAGAATCTTTTGTTATTAGCCAGGGAGCAGTATAGTTTTGTCCTGCTGTGGGAAGGGACTGTAGGGAACTTGCACACTGATAAACATTGAGGCGGAGTTGAGGTAAAGGGGAGCGGGGAGCAAGGAGTTGGACCTTTTAGGTTTTTAAGATTGGAGGGGTTTAGCAAGGGCTTTAAGTATGAGGGTTACTAATGCATATTTTACAGGTGTCAGGGATCCCGGCTCCGTCTGCCGCAATCGCGGCTCTGTCCCCCGCGCATGCGCATTGGCGGCAGATCACGCCGGGACACAGGAACTAGGTCCCGGCGAGCCGCGGCTGACAGGACGCCGCGCATGCGCAGTAGAAACCGCGGGCGCGCCTCAGGCGTCCAATGACAGCCGGGGGCGCGTCCTAGCCAGCCAATGACAGTGCAGGGCGCACTATTTAAAGATGCCCTGCACTGTCACAAATTGCCGCAAGGTCTATGTGTGATCCTGAATACCTGCTCCTGCTGTGACCCTGTTTTTGACCCTGACTACGCTGCCTGCCCCTGAGATTGACCCGGCTTTGTTCTGACTATTCTACCCGCTCCTGTGATTGACCCGGCTTTGTTCTGACTATTCTGCCTGCTCCTGCATTTTGACTCGGCTTATCCCGACTGTTCCTACGGATTGATTTACCCGGCTGACCCTGCGTGTGACCCGACTACTCCTAGCCCGCCGATTCGGTACCCCGCTTACCCCACGGGGCCACTATCCATACCACCCTGCTGGGGCCGCCATCCTCTTCACAGCTGGCTCTCCTGGTACCTACATACATCCCGGAGGCCTCCTCGGCCGCTGGTGGCCCGCTCAGAGGTCGTGACCTGGCCCGGGACTGTTTCAAGTCCATCCCCACCATCAGGGGCCCTGGTGAAAGCACAGCCCGGGCTTAGACCCCACGCTCTGGGTAGGTCTACCAGCTGGCAGACGGAGGGCTCTGCCTGGCGGATCCTAACAGTACCTTGCGGCCATGACAGAGCCAGGAAGTGGACCGGCGTCCCTAGAGGATATTTGCCAGCACCTGGCAACTTTGACCCAGGCTTTCCAGAACTTCCACAGTCGCTGCGCCCGACTGGAAGACCGCATGGAGACATTAGCCCCCCAGACTCCCCCTGCTCAGAGTTCCCCGTCTGTGGAACCTCCCGCTACCCCGGTATCCGGAGCGGTTGCCACACCCTTAGCTCCTGAACCCCGCGTTCCCCTGCCGGAACGGTTCCGTGGGGACCGGAGCCGTTTCCGAGCCTTTCGGAATGCTTGCACACTATATTTTAACTTGCAGCCTCGCACATTCTCCTCCGAGACCGTCAAGGTGGGGTTTATAGTCTCTCTCCTTCAGGATGAGCCCCAGGATTGGGCCCACCGTCTGATGGAGAGGCGCGACCCCCATCTTGACTCCGTGACCGAGTTCTTTCAGGCCATGGCCGTTTTGTATGACGACCCTCAGCGGGCTGCTTCCGCAGAGGCTACCCTATACTCTCTGCGACAGGGCCGCCGGGCAGCGGAAGAATACGCGTCCGATTTTAGGCGTAGCATGGGAGACACCAGATGGAACGATGCGGCTTTATGTCACCAGTTCCGCATTGGACTGTCTGAGCCTCTCAAGGACGAACTCGCACGAGTAGGCCTACCTGACTCCCTGGAAAGATTAATTGAATTGGCCATTCAAATTGACCGTAGACTAAGGGAACGTCGACAGGAAAGGAGCGGCCAGGGTCAAAGGGTGGCATGGATTCCATCAAGAGATACAACTCCAGCCCCAGGGAACCATCCGCGAAACACGGAGATGGGAGACAACTCGGAACCCATGCAACTGGGACTGGCCCGTTCCCACTTATCGGTCGAGGAACGCCAGAGGAGGCGCTCACTGAACCTGTGTCTGTACTGCGGGGAAGCTGGTCACCAGGTGCGCTCCTGTCCTGCAAAAACGAGTAAGTCCACGCCCGTTTCTTGTTCCTTACCTGCAGGCAGGGATGATCAGTCTAGTTACCTGGCCATTCCTGTGTCTTTACAGCTCCCCGGAGGAATATTGTCGGTGACCACGATCGTTGACTCAGGAGCCTGTAGCTGTTTTATTGATCTGACTTTTGCCCACCGGAAAAAAAATCCCTCTCCAGACCAAAGAAAGGGGGTTCAACATTTTCTTGGCAGATGGGTCCAGTATAAAATCTGGGGTGGTGGACCAGGAGACGCCACCCATTTTCACCACTATGGCAGACCATCACCAGGAGTTCCTCCGTTTGGACGCCATCGCCTCCCCCCTTTTTCCAGTCATTCTGGGGCTCCCTTGGCTGAGGGCCCATAACCCCCAGATTGACTGGGAAAAGGGAACGATTCATTTTCGGTCACCCTATTGTTTGAGTCACTGCCACGTCACAGGACCCATGGTTCCCCGGTTCCCTCCTGTGCTTGGACGGAGACACCAATCTATCCCAGGTGATTCCTCGGCCTATCATGACTTCTTGGACGTCTTTAGTAAGCGGGGAGCTGACGTTCTACCTCCACACCGTCCCTACGACTGCCCCATTGACCTCCTACCGGGTCGGAAATCTCTTTCGGCCGTATCTTCCCCTTGTCCGAAATGGAATCGGGGGTGCTGAGGGAATATATCGACGAAAACCTTCGGAAGGGCTTTATTCGTCCTTCCACATCCCCAGCCGGGGCCGGGTTGTTCTTTGTAGAGAAGAAGGACAAATCGTTACGGCCCTGCATAGACTATCGTGACCTAAATAAAATTACGGGTAAAGAATCGTTATCCCTTACCCCTAGTCCCCGAGCTCCTCCAGAGACTGAGATCAGCAACGATTTTCACTAAATTAGACCTGCGGGGGGCCTATAACCTTGTTCGTATCAGGGAGGGGGATGAGTGGAAAACGGCGTTCCGTACAAGATTCGGTCACTACGAATATTTGGTGATGCCGTTCGGGCTCTGTAATGCCCCGGCGACTTTTCAGCATTTTATCAATGATGTTTTTCGCGATTTTCTTGATATTTTCGTGGTAGTTTACTTGGATGACATCCTAATTTTTTCCCCCTCACTGGAGGTTCATCGGGGTCACGTGTCACGGGTCTTAGAACGGTTGCGCCAACACGGGCTATACGCTAAGGCTGAAAAGTGCTGTTTTGAACAGCACGAAATCACATTCTTGGGACTGGTTCTCTCTTCCGCGGGGGTCGCGATGGATCCCCAGAAGGTCACGGCGATCTTAGATTGGCCAATACCCGCCGACAAAAAGGGGGTACAGCGCTTCATCGGCTTTGCTAACTTTTACAGAAAATTCGTTAGGAACTTCTCCGGTCTGGTCTCCCCGATCACGCAACTGACGAAACAAGGGGTCCGCTTTAAGTGGACCTCCGAAGCTCAGTCGGCCTTCGATAAGCTCAAGACTGTTCACCTCTGCTCCCATTCTCTGCCATCCGGATTCTTCGCTCCCATATGTGTTGGAAGTTGACGCCTCCGAAAACGCGGTAGGAGCGGTTCTGTCCCAAAGGAATGGTACCAAGGAACTACTGCACCCTGTGGCGTTCTTCTCCAGGAAGCTGACACCAGCGGAGCGCAACTATGACATTGGAGATCGGGAGCTCCTGGCCATTAAAACCGCTCTGGAAGAATGGAGGTATTTACTGGAAGGGGCCACTCACCCCATCCTAATATTTACAGATCACAAAAACCTAGAATACTTAAGGACGGCAAAACGACTGAGACCACGCCAAGCGAGATGGGCTCTTTTCTTTTCTCGATTCTCATTCCATATAACGTACCGACCCGGTACTAAGAATACCAAACCAGACGCCCTGTCCCGCATGTTTGAGGACCCCGACGACGCTGCGGTACCAGACACCATCCTGCCTTCTGGAAGCTTCCTCGCGCTACAAACGGAACTGCGCTCCCGGCTTCTTGATGCTTCGGTAAGGCTACCCGTTCCGTCTGGTTCACCCCTCCAGAGCCACGGTGGCCTGTTTTGGAAGGAAGACCGAATCATGGTCCCAGAAGAGGTGCGAACCTTGGTCCTAGGGCATTGCCACGCCCATCCAATGGCAGGTCACTTCGGGGTGACGAAGACTCTAGAACTGCTACGGCGCTCGTTCTGGGGGCCGGATATGATCAAGGATTGTGAGCGTTACGTCCGGACGTGTCCCACCTGTCAAAGGAACAAACCCTCCAGGAGTAGGGCATGGGATTGTTACGTCCATTACCTATACCCAAGCGGGCCTGGCAAATGATAGCCATGGATTTTGTGGTCGAACTCCCACCATCCCAAGGCCACACGGCGATAATGGTGATCGTCGACCGCTTCTCGAAGATGGCGCATTTCGTGCCCCTGGAGAAGACCCCATCGGCACCGGAAACGGCACGGATCTTCATTCGGGAAGTGGTAAGGCTTCATGGAGTCCCCGAAGACATTGTGTCGGATCGGGGGGTACAATTCACCTCCAGGTTCTGGAACGCCCTATGTAAAGCGCTGGGAATCAAGCTGTCGCTCTCATCCGCCTACCACCCGCAGACCAACGGTCAAACCGAGAGGACCAACCAAACGCTGGAACAGTATTTACGATGCTACACCTCCTATCTCCAGGATGACTGGCTGACGTTGTTGCCTTCTGCGGAGTTTTCTCATACAACAACTCAAGTCACTCAGCTACGGGTCAATCGCCATTCTTTTCTAATTACGGGTATCACCCCACATTCCTCCCTGATCTAATGCCTGAAAATCTGGTACCGGCGTCGCAGGACATCTTGAACTTCTTTTCCGTCAACAACAAGACTATTCAGGAAGCCATCGCTAAGGCCCAGGAGGACAGTAAGAAGGCTTTCGACAGAAAGAGAAGAGGAGATTTACTGCTTCAACCAGGAGATCTGGTTTGGCTGGCAACAGCCAACTTGAAGATGCTGTGCCCCTCAAAGAAGCTGGGACCCAAGTACATTGGCCCATTTCCTGTTAAACGAATGGTCAACAAGGTGGCCTACGAACTCGAGCTTCCGCAGACTTTCAAAATACATCCTGTGTTTCATGTATCTCTCCTGAAGCCGTCCAGACCGGATCCCTTCCCAGATCGAGAATCCAGACCTCCCGAGGCAATCGCCATAGGTGACCAGGAGGAATTTGAGGTGGAAGCTATCCTCAGTTGCCGAAGGAGGGGGGGGCCAGACTCAGTTCCTGATAAAATGGAAGGGTTATGGTCCTGAGGAGAACTCCTGGGAACCCGCCCAGGACGTTCACGCGCCTAGGCTCATCCGGGAGTTTTTTCGTGCTCACCCGCGGTGGAGAGATCAGTGGGGCTCCCGGAGGGTGCCCGTTGGGGGGGGGGCAATGTCAGGGATCCCGGCTCCGTCTGCCGCAATCGCGGCTCTGTCCCCCGCGCGCATGCGCATTGGCGGCAGATCACGCCGGGACACAGGAACTAGGTCCCGGCGAGCCGCGGCTGACAGGACGCCGCGCATATGCGCAGTAGAAACCGCGGGCGCGCCTCAGGCGTCCAATGACAGCCGGGGGCGCGTCCTAGCCAGCCAATGACAGTGCAGGGCGCACTATTTAAAGATGCCCTGCACTGTCACAAATTGCCGCAAGGTCTATGTGTGATCCTGAATACCTGCTCCTGCTGTGACCCTGTTTTTGACCCTGACTACGCTGCCTGCCCCTGAGATTGACCCGGCTTTGTTCTGACTATTCTACCCGCTCCTGTGATTGACCCGGCTTTGTTCTGACTATTCTGCCTGCTCCTGCGTTTTGACTCGGCTTATCCCGACTGTTCCTACGGATTGATTTACCCGGCTGACCCTGCGTGTGACCCGACTACTCCTAGCCCGCCGATTCGGTACCCCGCTTACCCCACGGGGCCACTATCCGTACCACACTGCTGGGGCCGCCATCCTCTTCACAGCTGGCTCTCCTGGTACCTACATACATCCCCGGAGGCCTCCTCGGCCGCTGGTGGCCCGCTCAGAGGTCGTGACCTGGCCCGGGACTGTTTCAAGTCCATCCCCACCATCAGGGGCCCTGGTGAAAGCACAGCCCGGGCTTAGACCCCACGTTCTGGGTAGGTCTACCAGCTGGCAGACGGAGGGCTCCGCCTGGCGGATCCTAACAACAGGGCTGGGGAAGATGCCAGTAGAGAGACAGATTGAAGGTGTGAGTTAGAGAGTACAGGATAGAGCAAGAGCGTGACCAAAACCGTTGCGGGAGAACAGGGTCAAGTGGTTGGAGTGGGGGGGTTGGTAGAATTTTAGCAACCTCCTCTATGGTAACGGGGTCAAAAGAAGAAAGTATTGAGTGTGCAAGTGAACATGGAATGTTAGCTGGGGGAGATATCTGTACAGTTGAGAGATCTCATCATGAATTGCATCAATCTAATTTCTGCTGTGATTGGCGATCTTCTAGGCAGTAATTGTGTTAGTGGGTGTAGGCAGTGGATGACATTGTAGAGTTAAAGGTAGATGAGAGATTATATGGACTGCATAAGAGGGTGTTATTGAGAATGATAAAATAGGTTTGGCAGGGTGGAGGCAGGAGTTGTATTTTTGGAGGGCAGATTTATACTGGGGGAATTCTTGCTGAGCTGTGGCTTTAGCCGTAGATGCTCAAGAGTGCCGCTATGTCTTTTGAGACGTCTGGTGTTGTCTGTTTTGTCAAGGTTTTAGCGGTTATGCCCATTTTTAACATCTTAAAAACAAATCCATAAATATATTTAGTTTTTATCATTTTAAACTGCATTGACGTAATCTACAGTACTAACAACATTTTTTATTATGTTTGATCTTTTGATTTTCAGGTGCACAACTTGGGACAGTTGTCTCTCTTCCCCTATCTGGGTTGATCTGTTACTATCTGGATTGGGTTTATGTGTTCTATATTTTTGGTAGGTATTGTATGTTTCGTATATGTTGGAAATGTATATTTTTAATTTACAATTTCTGCTAATATTTCCATGCTTTTATTCATTTTTGGTATTTTTTTTTTTTTTTTTTTTTCATGTAGGGTCACTGGGTGTTGTTTGGTTTATAATTTGGTACCTAATAGCTAGCGATAATCCACAAACACATCGCACAATCTCAGATACCGAGAGAGAATATATCCTTTCTTCACTCAGAAATGAAGTATGTATGAAGATATGTGTTGGGTTATCTAAACAATCATAAAATGTATATAACCATGTATTGAACATGTGAATTGCAGGTAGAATTGTACTCATATTAAACTAATATTAAAATTTCTTCAGGTGTCTGCTAAAAGGTTTAGTTTAGATTTAAATTAAATTTGTACTTTCTCCTTTCATATTTGAACACTTTGTTTAAAAAACGTACCTTTCACTTTAGGTTTTTGTGGAATGGTAAACATACTGTTAAGAGTAAGACAATGGGATTGATTTACTAGAGGTGCAAGCCACCGGTCACACCACTGCGATTTTAAAATTACGTAATTTGTGTGCAATTTTAGCGCAATTTCAGGTGCAATTTCTGAAGACTTTATTGCTAATTGTGAAGATTTTCAACGATTTCTTGCAATTTTCAGTGCTATTTCCATGTATGTGAAATCTCAACAAAACAGCAAAAAAAGTAATGCAAGAACTACTTTAGAAATTGCACCGCAGTAAATCGCAAGTGTTAAGACACTGACATTCACATTCATTAGATGCAATTTCAATGGGCACTAAGGGCCCATTCAAGCCAGCCTAGATTGCACTGCAGTACACGCTTTATGGGGCAAATTTAATAAAACCAAAGAATGCATGGTAGTCAATCAGGTTCTAACTTCAGCTTGCAAACACAAATGCTCCTGCGCTTGGGGATGGACTCTATGCAGGCTACAACCACATTAAGAATGTCCTGGAACATGCACACCTTGCTGCCCTCAATAGTCTGGGGGAATCCAAATATACTGAATGAGGAAAGAACAAACAGAGGGCGCACAGGCCTAGTGCATTACCACAAAAAGTGTTTAATAAGAAATAAAGTAGGTGTTTACTCAAGTCCTCGAAACGCGTCAACCTATTGGATGTCTACACTCCCTATTGCGGACTGTTACTACAGCGTGGTGTTGACCCAGCTGTTTATTTATGACGTGCCTTGACTTTATTGTTGTTTGTGAGTAAACACCCTACTTTATTTCTTATTAAACATTTTTTGTGTTAATGCACTAGGCCCGTGCGCCCTCTGTTTGTTCTTTTCTAACTTCAGCTTGTTCAATTAAGATTTGGCAATAAAACCTGGAAGCTGATTTGGTTTCTATGCAGAGTTGCACTGGATTTTGCACTTCCAGTTTTAGTAAGTAAGTAACTAGGCTTTGATGTGCATTACAGTGCTCTGTGGTAAACGGTCTATTCAAAATAATGCGCTGAAATGCATTTCAACAGACAATGTGAATGTGCTTTTGTGCTCCTGTATGCATTCAGATGCAATGCTCACACTGAAATGCACATCACATTATATTAGACATTCCATTTGAATGAGCTGAAATTACACTGGATTGGACCAAAAGTTGCACATCACATTTTGACACCCGCAGCAGATCGCACACCCATTGCGTTTTAAACACAATGCGGAAAACACACATAGAAAGCAGGTTTCCCACACCCCATTCTGGTGTGCATGGGACCAAGCTCTCCAGCCATCTGAGCTTTCCTATATTTTAATGAACGGAGGGGGGTTTAAGAGGGTGCAAACGTAGGTTATGCATGAGTCCTGAGGTTTTATGACCGAATATTTGCAAGAAACTTCCAGTAACGCTGTTCTAATAGGGGTGAGTAGAAATCTGAGGAGGGGAGCATGCTCAATAAGGGTGTAAAGCTGAATAGTACAGATAATGAGAATTGCCCTGCTATCTATTTTTTACAGGAATGTCAAGGCCACCCTCTCATTTAAAATTGGAGATAATAGGCAATTTCACAAATCTAAAGTTTTTGTAACCTAAAATTTTACTTTAGTTTAACCATCAACTACTGAACATTCTTTTATTACAATTGTCAGAAAAGAAAAACTTTTATGAAATGTCAGCAGTGTTTGCACTCAGATTTCTGAGGGTCTTCCTGCTTTGTCAATACATTTATAAACTCAGGATTTCCTGTTTTGGAGAACAGGAAGCCTTTTTTGTAAATGGATATGTACATTGAATTCAGAAATTTAGAAAGTGTTTTTGAATTATATCCAAAAATTAGAAAATGCAACAAATAATATCATTAACATACATGCATGAGAAATAAAATTAGAATTCAAACTGTGCATATAAAGTCCACAGAAGAAAAGCGTAATATATCCACTTGACCAGATCTTCTGTGCATTAAACTTATACAATGTGTGCAGGAAAAAAAAAAAACTTTAAACTGGTTGCTGGATGAGGCTGCCTATACAATTAAGCGTGCTTTGATCTATCTTTTCTAGATGGTCATTTTTTCATTTTTTTTCTGGTAAGCATACTATCCCACTTTATGATGTTAAAAGCATTCACACTTGGTGGTTCACTAATTATAAGAAAGAAGATCTGGTCACGTGGATATCTGTTACTCTTGTCTTGCGTGGACATTATATGCACAGTTTGAATTTTATTTTATTTCTCATGCATTGTATATGTTAATGATATTTTGTTGCATTTGCATTTTTCAAATTTTTGGATATAATTCAAGCACTACAATTCCTACATTTTTTGTATCAAGCTATAATGTTAGCAGCTTCACTTTTATGTGATTTAATATTTTCTCCTAAGCTTTTTATTTTTACTAAGAAAAAATTTGCCTTTTAATATCAAACTTACCTGCTCTGTGCAGTGGTTTTGCACACAGCAGCCCCAATCCTACTGCCAAGTGCTCCCAAAGCAAGCCACTTGTTATGGGGGCATCCAAGCAGGCTCGTTCCCTTGCTGCTGCTCTGCGTGTCCATTCACACACACAGCTGTGGCTCGGCCCCGACCCTCGCTCTCCTCATTGGCTCACTGGCAGTGATTGACAGCAGCGGGAGCCAATGGCTCCCTCTGCTGCCTCAGCCAATGAGGAGGGAGAGTCCTGGAGAGCTGAGGCTCTCACACGCATTGTAGATCGTGATGGGGCTCAGGTAAGTATTGGTGGGCTGAAGGGGCTGCTGCACACAGAAGGTTTTTTACATTTATGCATAGAATGGATGAAGGTAAAAAAAAAAAACCTTGAGCCTTTACAACCACTTTAATTGAATTCAGAAGGCAAGCTGCTACATCAATTTTTAAAACCAATTCTTACTGTGAAATTAACAAATCCAGTCAAATGCCATTTTAATGCTACCAGGTAAGAGATATGACAATATTTAAACATAATGCAAGCAGGTGTGCTATATGCTGGTCAGGTTGGTGATGAGTAACACAAGTCTGCAAACAAAAACCAAAAATGGGGAATAAATATAATGAAGAGTTGTTCTTCTGTCCAAACAGTCTTTATGGATGTAAAGAGAATTGTATTTCACCTATAACATTGATAAAATTGGATGTAAGGTTTATGCAAATTACCAGACTTTATTTTCCTGGAATCACATTCCTTTAGTCTATTTAACCTTTTTTTTTTAATTTTTTGTTTTTTTGTTTTTTTTTTTTGTTTACGTAGGTAATTTTGTAATATTTGTGGCATTGATTTATTGTAGCATTAAGTAAATCTTGCACATCGATGATTTCAGCTTGTCTCATGTGGTCTGAAAGACTTACTGAACTTCCTACAAGCCTTAGACACGCAACAAATCCCTGTTTTTCTGCTGCTGCTGCCTGGCCATTCTTTCCAGGACTGGCTGTTTACAACAGCAGCAACTGCAACCACTGCTATGTTCTGAACAGCGTTTAGCAGCTTATCTAAGAAATATAATGTAACAAATGCCCATATTTCAATTGTAAATTGTATTGTAATACTTTGTACCAGAGTCATAGTTTTAGTGTAATTAAAAGCCTGTACATTTTGGGAGTAAAATTTATTTTTTTGTTATCTAGAGCAGCCTTTCTTAACCTTTTCAACACAGAGGAACCCTTGAAATAACTTTCCAGTCTCAGGGAACCCCCTGCTAAAAATGACTGTATTCACAACTCATTACACATTAGTGAGATGGTCAGTGGGAAGAAAGCTCTGTTGATGTCATAGGGAACTTATCTGAGAGGCAGAAATTGCTCATTGCACAATGAAACCCCTAGCAACCTCTGGAGGATCCCTGGGGTTCCATGGAACCCTGGTTGAGAAACATATCTAGCGTAAAACTTATGGTTTTACAACTAACACTGGTCAAAGTAGGAAAAAAGAATACCTTTTTTGAGTTCGGACAAGACATTATTACCAACAAAGTATGTTTGTCCCAAAAAAATTACATGGATTACTTAATTTTCCAGAATTACCATTTTGGTACAATATCATTGGGCTCAAAGAAGAAATATAAAAATTGCTTGGGTCCATAAGAGTATACAGGTGTGTGGCCAAAAGTGCAGCTATTCTAAGCCACAGTTTTTACACTCTGTGTATCCTCAGCAGCAGTCATCTTTAACCAAAACTCCCACTAATGTTATATTTATATATGTGAGTTAATCATTTTTTTTTCCACCTTCCTTATGTTAAATGAGATCTGACTTCTTTTCCGGGTCTTGCCCAATAGTATGGTGGCTGGGAAGTTACTCCAGCCAGTTTGAAACTTTTAGCAATATCAGGTTCTACACCATTACTATCATGTTGTGGTCACTCTGGGGGTGAATGGAGGGTTTGTAAACACACAAGCTCTGCTATTAGGCCCTGTTTACACTATCATTAAAAGCGGGCATATTGAGGCACGTTTTTTTTTTTTTTTTTTTTAACTCTCTTCAGACTCCAAGTAAAGCAGTCTGCAATTGATAATATATGGACAGCACACAGTGCTCTGCAATAATGCTATAGGCGTATTTAAGCTTCAGTATTTTGAGCAAGTGTGAACAAGATCTTAGAATTAGCCATAAATGATCTGATCCTTCCAGGATGCTTTGATTTGTGCCACGTGTTTGCAATGCTTTTTGGTTGTTTTACATATGTCGTACCATCTGGGGGGTGTAACTTTTGGGGAGATCCTCTGCAGCCACTCATATTGACTGACTGAATTCATTTTAAAGCAATACTAAAGGTTCATATTTTCTTTCTTTAAAATAACAACATGTCTATACTTACCTGCTGTGTGCAGTGGTTTTGTACAGAGCAGCCTGGAATTCCTCCTGATCTCGGGTCCCCACACAGGCTTTCCTGGCTCCTCCTTTCTGTCGGGTTGTCCCCATAGCAAGCAGCTTGCTTTGGGGACCCGCTGCTCCTGTGTGCCCATTCACACATTAAGCCGTTAATTTTTTTTCCCTGCCCCCGCTCATTCATTACTGACTGTGCTGTGTACATAGCAGTGGGATCCTCCTCTTCTCGGGTCCCCACACAGGCACTCCTCCTTTTGCCTGTGTCCATTCAGCCAATGAAGAGGCAGAGACTCGGGACAGCCAAGGCTGTCATGCACATCGTTGGGTCGCGATGGGGCTCAGGTAACTTTTTGCCTCAGGGGCTGAGGGGACTGCTGCACACAGGTTTATTTACCTTAATGCATAGAATGCATGACAGTAAAAAAACTTTGAGCCTTTAGAACAGTTTTAACTACAGAGCATAGTGTCCGCTTTAAAGGTGGTATAGTGATTGCAGTGCACGTATTGCACATATATGGACAGGTTTTGCTTTGCTTAATCTCTCCCGGTTTTTGTTTTGTTTTTCTTCCAGCTTTCTAAGAACAAAGATATTCCTGTCTGTGCAATGCTGAAGTCGTTACCCCTGTGGGCTATAGTTGTTGCTCATTTTTCTTATAACTGGACCTTTTACACTTTGCTCACTTTATTACCTACATATATGAAGGAGATCCTGCGTTTTAATGCACAGGAAGTAAGTAAGAGTCGAATATTTTGTTAGACAGTAACCTTTAACTTTTTAGAATATGTATTTGAGAACATCTGTTTATAAAATAATCATGATTTTCAGAGGACTGAACCACCAAACACCATTTCAGTGTTGTTCATATGCAAGGCTTCAAGGTATAAAAGTTTATTAGGCATCCAATTTCAGTTATAATCTTCATGGTTATCACATATCCCAAATACAGTTTTTAAAAATGATTATTCAGGTTAGTTCAGCGCCTGTTTTACCTATGCATAATTCCATTTGGTTTAAATCAGAAGTTTGTGCGTCTGTTTTCGTAATGTGGTTATTAAAAATGTAATGAGGCCAAAAAGCAAAGGGATTATCTTTTATTTTGAGACCTATTTACTAGCCATGAGTTTTTAACTCTCTGGAATGTCATTGCAGAAAGGTCCTGTAAATGATAATATCCACCCAAATCTACTGATTTACGTATAATAAGAGGCGATGAGTCCATTTTGTGTGTAATGTCCTGGTTTGAAGGTCTAATGCTGTCTCTTACTGGCCATTTCCTTTTAACATGGCTATGCCTGTAGGTGTGTATCAGAGGATCATTTAACCCTTTGGGGCTTACAATATACAGTATATTGTGGACAGACAGTAATGATATGAGTGTGGAAGGAGGAGGAATGCTAGAGAAGCTCCCTAACACTGTATTTATAAATGAACACTATGGGCAAATGTAATTAGTGTTCTTTACAGGTATGAACTAGATGGATGCCTAATGCTTCCCCAGTGCCAAGTGAAGTTTTGCTTCCACATAGGATATACTTTGTGACACAAAATACATGGATTTTATGGTTGTGCTTGCTATGTAAATGACCCCAGCGTTTCTATCATTAATTATGGTACACCTGTCTATTTACAGAATGGATTCCTCTCTGCGCTTCCTTACTTGGGATGTTGGCTTTGTATGGTCATTACCGGCTATATTGCAGACTTTATGAGAGAGAGGTTGAACTTTTCAACTGTGGCAGTGCGAAAAACATTTAATACATTAGGTAAACAGAATTTGTTAATGTTATTAAAGTATATTTAACCACTTGCCTACTGGGCACATATACCCCCTTCCTGCCCAAACCAATATTCAGCTTTCAGCACTGTTATACTTTGAATTTTTTTCCACACAAATAGAGCTTTCTTTTGGTGGTATTTAATCAGCACTGGGTTTTTTACTTTTTCCACTATAAATGAAAAAAGACCAAAAAACTTGGCAAAAAAATGCATTTTTCTTCATTTCTGTTGTAATATTTTGCAAATAAGGAATTTTTCTTCATAAATTTTTGCCAAAATCTTTGGTAAAAATAACCTATATCTGTCTATAATATTTGGTCTGTGTGAAAGTTAGTCTGCAAGCTATGGTACCAATCATTGCAAATTGATCACTGACCTCTCATTTCTTGAAACACTAACAAGCCAGGACAGTACAAATACCACCCAAATGGAAAGTAGACAAGTAGACAGTGCAAGGTATTTAGTAACAGGCATAGTGAGTTTTTTGAAGCTGTAATTTTTGTTTCCCACAGTTCTATTGAAAAGTAAGATTTTTTTTTTTTTTTTTTTTTCCCACAAAATTGTAATCGTAACAGGTTATTTCTCTCACACGGCATATGCATACTTGCAACTACACCCCAAAAACACATTCCACTACTCCTGAGTATGAGGATACCATATGTGAGACTTTTTCATCGCCTAGCCACATAGAGAGGCCCAAAATGCAAGAAGCACTGTCAGGTGTCCTAGGTGTATAAATTGCACAATTAATTTCCTGCTACCTATTACACTTTTGAAAGCCCTGGAGCACCAGGACAATGAAATTACCCACAAAATGACCCCATTTTAAGAAGCAAACACCCCAATCTATATTTTACGAGGCATAATGAGTCTTTTGAACATGTAATTTTTTTTTTCCCACAAGTTTCCAGAAAATGTGGAAAGAAAATGGGAAAACATTTTTTTTTTTATTTTTGTTTTTACACAATGTTGTCTATTTATAAGATATTTCCAACACATAGCATGTACATACCAAAAATGACACCCCAAAAATATATTCTGCTGTTTCTCCTAAGTATGGGGATACCACGTGCGAGTTTTCCACAGCTTGGCCACATAGCCCCAGCATCCAAGTAACATAAATTACACCTCTAATTTCCTGACAACCTATCACCTTTTGTGAGGGCCCTGGAAAGTGGAAACACCCACAAAAAATGACCCCATTTTGGAAAGCAAACACCACAACATATTTTCTAAAACGCATAAGGAGTCTTTTGAACATTTCATCTTTTTTCCTCAACTTTTCAGAAAATGTGGAAAGAAAATGAAAATGTATTTTTTTAACACAAAGTTGTCAATCTATAAGATATTTCTAACAAACAGCATGTACATAGCAATAATTGCACCCCAAAATACATTCTGCTACTCCTCCTGATTATGGGGATACCACATTTGTAAGCCCTTTTCAATGTCTGAACAGATTATGTGCCCAACATTGCAAAAAGTGTAACACAAAAATCAACAAACACTGTATAGGAAACAATGTAAACAAAAGATTACCTGTAGTTTGAGGAGAGCATTGGTCCAGGTCAGTACAGGCAGCAGGCTGACATGCCTGTTGTCCATTTATAAGACTTTTCTGACACACAGCACATACATACCAAAAATGACACCCCAAAATACATTCTGATTTTCCTCTTGAGTATGGGGACACCACATGTGAGAAACTTCCACAGCCTAGCCACATAGAGAGGCCCAACATCCAAGTAGCACCTTTAGGCATTCTAGGGGCAAAAATCACACATCTAATTTCCTGACAACCTCTCATGTTTATGAAGGCCCTGGAGCACCAGGACAGTGGAAACACCCACAAAATGACCATATTTTAAAAAGCAAAAACTACAATGTATTTTTTAAAAGGCATAATGAGTCTTTTGAACAATTTTATTTTTTTTTCCACACGTTTTTGGAAAATGTGGAAAGAAAATGAAAATGTATTTGTTAACCCAAAGTTGTCAATCTATAAGATATTTCTAACAAACACCCCAAAATACATTCTGCTACTGCTTCTGGTTATGGGGATACCACATATGTAAGCCTTTCTTGTACTGGACATTAATACTGAATATTTTTATAGATGGGCAACTCCTATCCTCATATTGATTAGTGGTTCCAAATTAATAACTACTGCAGTAGGGAACAGACACAAAAAGATACACTCAGCCTCTTTCCAAATCACTGTTCTGTTTATTCGGTGCCTTTTGAAGTTTTTAATACACATGATTACATAGGTATGACATTAATATTACAATTTTACTTTTATGGTAACAAGGAGCGTTACATAGGCAGGCTAATTTCTAATCAGGGCTTGAAGGAATGCAAACGTAAGTAAAACATTATTGGTGCTGTCTGCACAAGGAGTGCAGTGTACAATACAGAGGCAAAGCATACAAAAAGAATACAATTTTGTACAGAATTTACAAATTTCCTTTAAGTTTTGAATGTCTGTACATATTGTGTACCCAACATTGCAACACAAACATAAACACTGTATAGAAAACAATGAAAACAAAAGATTACCTGTGGTTTGAGAAGCGCATTGGTCCAGGAAGCAGCAGAGATGTGGTCAGCAACAGCCAAAGGAATCATCCAGGGAACAGGCAGGAATATGCTCCATAAACATGCCAGGGTCAATACAGGCAGCAGGCAGAAACAGGGTCCATAAAGTGTCCTGGGTCAGTACAGGCAGCAGGCAGAGATATGGTCAGCACAGCCAAAGTAGTCGTCCAAGCAGGAACATGGTCCATAAAAAGTCCTGGGTCATTACAGGTAGCAGGCAGAGATATGGTCAGCACAGCCAAAGTATTTGTCCAGACAGCAGGCAGCAACATGGCCCATAAAAGGTTTTGCATCAGTACAGGCAGTAGGCTGATATCCAGGCAGCACGCAGGAACATCAGGCTGAGGGCTTTTGGTCATGTAGGAGCGGGGCACAGGGGTAGAGGCTTTGGCCAACCCTATCTCTTCACAGCCTCCAGACAAACTGACCCTGTTCCAGGAATTACAAAACCAAGAGAAAACCATAAACTGGTTTTTCTCTTCTCCTGAAGCCCCACACATATGTGAGACCCCTGTGTTATCTTCAATACCACTACTACAGTAACAAGGCAAAAGATCAATCCAAGCGGCAGGCAAAAAACATGGTCAATTAACAGGCCGAGGTCAGTCCAGGAAGAGGGCATAAATGTGGTTGATAATCCAGACGGCAGGCAGAAGTATAGTCAGTGAATTGGCCAGAGTCAGTTGAGGTGAAAGGCAGAAACGTGGTAGATATACAATGCAGGCAGAGGCAGTTGATAAACAGAGCCAGGGTCAGTTAAGATAGAAGGCAGTGGCATGGTTGATTTGAGGCAGCAGGCAAAGGATCAGCGCAGAGATTGAAAATGGGGACATTACAGGCTGTTAGAAATATGTGCTAATATTTTAGTGACGTGTGAAAACATTGGAAGCAGTCTTTGATGCACAGGCCTGGTTGGGATGGACATTGGGGACATTGAAAACTGGTGTCTCTTCTATCTTCCCTTCTGCTGCATATCCAACATCTTTTTTGGTGTCTTTGGCCTGCTCTCAGGGAAATGGCGCTCATGAAGACTGCTCACAGAATTGAAATGAATGCTTTCTGGGGGGGATCCTTGCTGGTAAATAATGGACGTGACAATGTCTTCTATACATTTGAGGAAGGCAGTATGTCTATCTGTAGATTTGGTGTAGGTGACAGGCGTTCTAAATAGCCAAATGAATAGATAAATTGCAACTTTTTATACCAAAAACGGGACCTTCTTGTTGCTGAATAGGGCTATAGCATCTGATCTTTGAAATCCACCCCCCCAGGTAGAGATTATAATCGTGGATGCACGCAGGCTTTTGAATGGGACCATGTCTTCCAGTAATTTCCACTGAGGTGTCATTGTAAATGGTGGACAGGATGTAAACATATCTTTTATCCTTCCACTTCAGGGCCAGCACTTTGTGGTTTTCTTAGACTTGCTGATTTCCCCCCTTTTGTAGCCTGGTGTTCACTAGCGCTTGTGGGAAGCCCTTCCTGTTTTTTTCAGGAGGTACCATAGGCCAAGGTTTTCTCACGGTACAGGTGTCAGAAAAGGGGCAGACTGGTATAGAAAATGTCAAGGTAGATATGATAGCCTTTTTAGAAAAGTGGAAAAGCCAGATCCCTGACAACTTTTCTACTTGTGCCGATGTAGGTTGAGCACTCGGGACTGCAGCTGGGAATCTTTTTTTGCCTTCTTACATGCGGAAAAATATACAAATATCCAGTGGCTTTCACAGAGCTTGTAGAGCTTTACTCCATATCTGGCCCTTTTTTGCTTGGAATATATTGCTTGATTCCCAGTTGGCCAGTGAAGTGAACAAGGGATTTATCCACACATACGTTTTGTTCAGGGACGTAAAGTTCAGCAAATTTTTGGGGAAAAAAATTAAGAAGTGGGCGAATTTTGTATAATTCATTTGTCATAGTTGGGTTTGATCTGGGGGAGAGCACTGGGTATTGTCACTGAAATGAAGGAATTGCATGATCATTTCATAACGTGACCTGGGCATTACAGTAAAATAAACGGGCATGTGGTGGAGTGGGTGCGTGGATCAGTAAGCATGTCCCTTTTTTTTTTTTTTTTTTTTTTTTTTTTTTTTTTTTTTTTTTTTTTTAAGCCCCATGTTAAATTCCTATAATGTAAGAGTTCTCCATTCAGATGGACAGGCATAGGATGAACTGGGGTTGTTAGAAATTAAATGTTGTGCAGAAAGGTTTCTGGTCCACAAAAAAATGAAGTAAACTGTTGGGCAAAAATACATTTTAAAAAATCAATTTCTGAAACATTTTCCGTGTTGGCCTGCACACCTGCATGTGTGGTGAAAGGGGAATGCTTGCAGATCCTGAGTTGGAGAGCAGCCATATTGGGTTGGCAAGAGTATCTGGGAGCTATGTTTGG